AGAAAAATGCTGCTCCCAAAAGTGCCGACTTATGCGAGTTTTACTGTAGTAGCAATGCCAATAGCTGGCAAAATAATCATGTTGGCTTTAGACTAGTCCGCCTCTGTAAACTCTTCCTCGGCCGGCCAGGTAAGGGCTCAGCCGGCCAGGTAAGGGCTCAGCCGGCCAGGTAAGGTTTCAGCCGGCCAGGTAATGGTTCAGCTGGCCGTGGTGCCGTGGCTCCGCCGGCCAGGTAAGGGCTCAGCTAGTCGTGGCTGAGCCGGCCAGGTAAGGGCTCAGCCGGCCAGGTAATGGCTCAGCCGGCCAGGTAATGGCTCAGCTGGCCGTGGTGCCGTGGCTCAGCCGGCCAGGTAAGGGCTCAGCTGGCCAGGTAATGGTTCAGCCGGCCAGGTAATGGTTCAGCCGGCCAGGTAAGGGCTCAGCCAGCCAGGTAAAGCCTCAGCTGGCCAGGTAAGTGCTCAGCCGGCCAGGTAATGGCTCAGCCGGCCAGGTTCTTCTGTAGTTTGTATAGCCCTGTGGCAGAGTGAAGGAATACACGTGTGTAGAGCTAGTCTTGAGTCTTGTGACTAAAGTTGTGTATAACACTAGCACGTTATTCTCCCAAATTTTTACGTGTACTTTACCTTGTGCTGAAAGTGTTCACTTGCGTGTTGTCAGAACTTGCCCTTAATCTAGCTTCATGCTCATGAAACACCTAAAGTTATTAATGCATTCATTGTTGTACTTGTTTGTACAGGTGATAACGTTGAAAGGAGAACCTCACAAGTGTAAATCAGAGAAAACGACAGAAGAAGGAAAGAAGGAATTGTGTGATGTTGCTGTGCAGACTGACAAGCTTTTAGCAAGTGAACTTGTTAGTCCGAGGACAGGTGGCAATGAGGAATTACCTATGCATGCCCTCTCTACCTCAGTCTCTGCAACAGCCTCAGAAATAAGTAAATCAACCGACATTCAGGATGCTGCCTGGCTGAGTAGCCATGGGGAAAACCAGGTAAAACTTGATCCAGGTCCATATAGTCTCGTACTTGCATCAATCCAACATGAGAATGTATGACCATTATATAAGTACTAGTCTGTACAGGTCTATACGAAGATATATATACGAAGATTGCCTCCCGTTGGCAAAATCATCAGCATGTTGATGGTGCCAATATAGAGTAGAAGTAGAAGAAGTAGAAGGTCCTAGCTTCTTTCAGGGATGAACAAAAACATTCCATAAGCAACAGCACTTGTATCAACAGTGTATATTGTACTGTATATCAACAGTGTAATTCGTAGATAACTCTACCGTCACATCTTGTGTTTGTAAAATGCTCACTTCAAATATGCTACTAAGTGCTTATCACAACAGAGCTACATTTTTTGAGTTCTTGTATATCTATCAGAAATTGAAATTCTCCCAATTCTTGTGTTAAAATTATTCCTCTTTTCAAGTGTCTTAAAAATCACAGATCCTTTCCAATGTAAGTTATACTAATTAGGATGAACAATGTGTAAGTTACGCCTTTCCTTGCAGGTCTCGATTGCAGAAAGCCTAAAGTCTGCAGCGGAGGATGCCATGCATCAAACTGGTTACGTTTACGACGAAAATTATGGTTTATACTATGATTTCAACACCGGCTACTATTATGATTCTGTAAGTGGAACCAAGTATGCAGTAACTAGTTAACGTCACAGTATAAATCATATTGCATTCATCATCATATCTTACGATTAATTTCGCAGTGTGTGCATCCAAATAAAAGCTTTACCTAATTCATTAAGGATACTCTCCACCTTTTGCACGGGTATTGCTCTAATGAAGATTAAACGTTTATTGGCGAATGAATGGAATCAATCACTTGTTTTATTTATAGAGGAGATATATCTCTATGCTCAAGCCAAAAAATTTCATAAAATTTCCAGCACCTAATTATGTTACCACAAAGATTTTGAATTTTTATGTAAAAATGGTATTTTGGATATTTCTCAACTACCAGAAAGAGAGAGGATACAAATTTTTTGCCACATGTTAAGCACAATATGGACCAAAATAGTGCGTCAGGATTTTTCTTTAAGTTTTATATTTATCGAGAAAAATGGAAAAAACTGTTTAAAAATCAATTTGTGTGTTAGAATTGAAAATTTTAGCGAATAAAGAGGCATAACTAATAAAATACGGCACTTAATAACGCACTTTTTTACAGCAATATGTTACCATTAAAACGAGTGTAAAATTAAATTAATCCGAGTTGTAATCACAGAGAAATATCCATTTATACATCGGCAACTATGTCAGAAATCGAAATGGAGAAATTAGCGTTTTTCTATTTTTCACAATGATCGACCACCTGTGTGCAAAATGGGTGAACGTATGTGAAACATCTACTGTTAGTACTTACTGTGACATATCCATGACTAACTGACACCACTAAATTGGTAATATGTTCCATGCACCTTGAGAAATTGTGAAAAATTACGAGGTTACTCAGGTTACCACCGCACTTTTATGCAAAACGCGCATACGATGTGTACTGCATGCTGTTACTAAGCTATGTGTCAACAAACACGCGCCTAAATGCAAAGTGTGTAACAAGGGAAACGGGGCTATTTTCGGTGGCGCGGCAATTTCAACTATCACTGGCAGATGACAGCTGTAGGAGCATTGATGCTGAATGATACTGGCTTAGTGAATATCATGAAAATTCTGGTTGTATCATGTCTCTGACGTCATCAGTGATGTCAGCTGCTGCTCACTACACGTGTACGCGGGCAATCAAAACGCTCTCAAAGTTCACATGTACCGTTATATGGAGAAATGAGCATATATACAGTGGTGACACATAGTGTTAGCCATCGAATAAAGTCGAAAATGGAAAATCGGTAAAATTTTGCCTAAAACCTGTAGAGTATCCTTAATGCAAGTACCAGGGTGCGAAATTAACGGTAGTCCGGAGTCAAATACTCCCTGATTTACTGTCGGACTCCCTGATTTGACATATGCAGGAGTCCGTGTGACTCCCTGAAAATTCTATTTTGAATTTTTATGTAAAAATGGTATTTTGGATATTTCTCAACTACCAGAAAGAGAGAGGATACACATTTTTTGCCACATGTCAAGCACAATATGGACAAAATTTTAGCGAATAAAGAGGCATAACTAATAAAATACGGCACTTAATAACAATCCCTGACGCACATTTTTACAGCAATATGTTACCATTAAAACTAGTGTAAAATTAAATTAATCCGAGTTGTAATCACAGAGAAATATCCATTTATACATCAGCTACTATGTCAGAAATCGAAACGGAGAAATCAGCATTTTTCTATTTTTCACAATGATCGACCACCTGTGTGCAAAATAGGTGAACGTATGTGAAACATCTACTGTTAGTACTTACTGTGACATATCCATGACTAACTGACACCACTAAATTGGTAATATGTTCCATGCACCTTGAGAAATTGTGAGAAATTACGAGGTTACTCAGGTTACCACCGCACTTTCATGCAAAACGCGCGTACGATGTGTACTGCATGCAGTTACTAAGCTATGTGTCAACAAACACGCGCCTAAATGCAAAGTGTGTAACAAGGGAAACGGGGCTATTTTCGGTCGCGCGGCAATTTCAACTATCACTGGCAGATGACAGCTGTAGGAGGGTTGATGCTGAATGATACTGGTGTAGTGAATATCATGTCTCTGACGTCATCAGTGACGTCAGCTGCTGCTTACTACACGTGTACGCGGGCAATCAAAACGCTCTAAAAGTTCACATGTACCGTTATATGGAGAAATGAGCATATATACAGAGGTGGCACATAGTGTTAGCCATCGAATAAAGTCGAAAATTAAAAATCGGTAAAATTTTGCCTAAAACCTGTAGAGTATCCTTAATGCAAGTACCAGGGTGCGAAATTAACGGGAGTCCGGAGTCAAATACTTCCTGATTTACTGTCGGACTCCCTGATTTGACATATGCAGGAGTCCGTGTGACTCCCTGAAAATTCTGCCATACGAACTAGTTCATTCCGGAGCAAGGTCTCACGGAATTACTGTATTTTTTCAGCAAATGTCCAAAGAAAATTTGGCAGACGTGCAACCCCATGAATCTTCAAAATAAGCACATGGGTTATTGTTAATATCTTTAATTTTGAACTTCAGACTGCGGACTCCCTCATTTTGCCGCGGACTCCCTCTTTTTGAGGGCAGGGAGTCCGTTGGACTCCCTTGTTCAAAAGTTAATTTCTACTCCTGAAGTACGTTTTGAATTTTTGAAATAATAATTAGGGAATTGTAGTGATCGAGTGTTTTGCTGTAGAACGTAATCTATGTTTAATAATTGTTGCCTACAGGAGCGCTGCCTACATTATAATTCAACAACTGGCGTCTACTATCGGTTCGACGAACAATCGCAGAACTACGAGTTCCACTCACAAATTGCCGTGCAACAGCCCAGCTATGACCAGTCACAGTACCACCAGGGGGCAGCAGCTGACCCCACCCGTAAAGACGAGGACAACACAAGAAAAACCAAGACTGCAAAAAAGAAGAGGCATAAAAAGAAAGGCACTGATAGCGAATCCGAGGTACAAACCTACAGAAAATAGAGAATAATCATTACTTGCTAATTACCACTTGACTTGTTATCCAGCCAAAGTTCAACCGATTTATTAAAGTTCTAGTGTATAAACTTTGCTACATGATGGACATTTCCTTTGGGTCTCCAGTCATTTGTTTGAATAGCAAAAGCGATGCCTACCGGCGTTGTGTGCACACAAAACTGTGGTCGCTTTCTGCAGGACCCCGTGACTGGCATGACGAAAAGTCTTCATTCTCTGAGCCTTCGACATCAGGTTCATGGTAAATGCCCCCTGTAAGCAGTTCTCACTGAAACCGTCATTCCTTGAAACCATGCGGGAGTCAATGAAATAGGTTTGGGGTTTTCGTTCTATTCGGTATCTCTACCAGTACATTGACTCCGTCGTGGAACCTTTTTGTTGCACAGACAAAAAAAGTAAGTAACACGTCTTTTTTTTGCTCTTAGGATGAGAAAACTGAAAGGCGGCATCGCAAACACCAATCGAAGAGCATCCGTAGATCGAAAGACTCTGAGAATAATAATCTCGAGAAGCATAAACACAAACATAAGAAACATTCCAAAAGGAAGTCCGAACACCATCACAAAAAGAGCCACAAACGGGACAGGCGGAAATCAAAGGGTGGAACTAGGGCTGACGTAGAGGACGGCCATCGCAGTGACTCTGGTTGCCGTAAGAAAGTCTCAAGCAGTGATCCGTGTTTAGCTGAGCTGCAGCAGCCAATTGACAATGAAAGCAGTCGCGCTTTCAATGCTGCGAATGGCGAAGGTGGTTTGCTTACCGTTAATAAGGCGAGACGTACGAAAAAGCCAAAGGTAGTTCGCGTAAAGACGCATGTTAGTGGGGACGATGAAAGCATGGAGTACGATAGTGATCAGGGCAGTGTAGAGGGGTCCACACGGGAAGAAGGGGAATGCGAGGAAAGCTCTGCCAGTAGCACTAGTAACAGTGACGGCCGTGACGTCATTGAAACCACTGCCACTGAGCCAATTCTGCAAGAAGAAGAAAATGGTTCGTATGAAACATTAAACATTACATTTTAGAAGTGTGGAGCTGTGTGTAGTAGTGTGCATGTAGGTCTGAACGTCCAGTGCTAATAGAAATGTAATATAGTAATACAGGGTAAGTAAAACTTTATTAATCTTTTGATCGTTTATTGATTTTTAATAATAAATTGGAAAAGATAGTGTCATCTTGTGTTTGGACGTTTTGAGAGTCTTTACACTTCAAGAGTCGTGGTGCACAGGTTTATTGTATGCATGCCACCAAACGCATATCACAAGTACTAGTGATACATGTCTGGTTTTATTACATAAAGTATAATGACGTTAAACGACTTGGTATCACTTGCACGTTGCTTGGGTTGTCAAAGTAGTTTATCTGGCACTTCAAGCTCAGCAGTCACTGTAAGGAATGTTCTATTTCAGAGTTGACATCACAATGGCCGCCCTGCATTCGAGCAATAGTACAGGCCTCCGAGCATGTAGATCGAGGGTCATTGTTTGTTGTCACGTGCATGGGCGCAAAGATTGGACGCGAGAAGAACAATAGTCTGTGCATCCCTGATGTTGAAGTCAGCAAGGTAGGGGAATTTCTAAAATGTTTTAATGTTTATTGCTGTAGCATTGTCGATTTATATGTGTTTCACGGCTGACGCTATGGTGGTATTGGCAATGAAGATAAAACATAAACCAGGGGGTTCAAGTCTTCTTTCATGGAATTGAAAAGATTGTTCATCATTAATTACTGCCGTATCATCAGATTACAAATTTACACTGCCGTCAGGTGAAAACTGTGGAGATATACATGCCTCCGATTTCTCCTCCTGCCTCTATACCATAATAGAATTGGGTGATAACACTCATTTGGCATATATCTCTGTGTATATGTCCTGTTTTATGGAGAAATAACTGATTAATTCATTCACAATCATCGCAATGTTTTTTTTACACTATGGCATTCAGAATGTAGTAACGGCATTTTCAATTTTATCAGGTACACGCAGAAGTTTTGTATGATGAAGCGATGTGCCAGTACACGGTCACCGACTGTGGCAGTCAGAATGGAACTTTTCTTAATGATCAGCGACTGTCGGAGGTGTGTTTCTACGGTGTTTACCGTTGCTCTCATAATCTCACGAATCATGTTCTGCAATAATTAGTATATCTTAAGGAACCTAGCGTATAGTGACATATGGGATTAAATATTGTTGCCAAGTGATGAGGTGAAAGATAATTAAAAATCATAAGGTTGTTGATAAAAAGGAGAACAATATTATTTGGTTTAAACTATTAAAATACCCATGCAATATTAACTTCCCTATCTATAACTTTCGTGCAATTTCCATAATGAACAGCTAGATCATTACAAAGTAACAATAATACCAACAATAATACTTGTATAAGTAACAGTAAAGTAACAATAATACTTAACAATAACAATAATGCATGGAATGCTTATTTGAAATGATAGTTACGAACTTCAAGGCTGTAATTTTTGTGTTTTACATCTGTGCATTTTTAGTTATCATTTCCTGTTGTCTTTGTCAGGCTAAGTGTGTGAGTGAAGCGTATCTTCTTTCCCACGGCGATGTGCTGAGAATGGGAGTGGAAACATGGTTACTGTTTCACATTCATGAGGGAACAGACACTTGTGATGAGTGTGAGCCAGGACAAGTGCAAGCTGCCCTTGCCCAACAACAGATACAGCCAAAAACAGGTAAATAAATACTAATTGAATCAAGACTGAAAAGGAGTAGTTGCATTGTCGTTACGTTTATTAAGTTTTACTCTCTGAATTTCATTGATATGAATGCCTGCAGCAATTCATAGATTATTTTAGTCGTTGCATGGGAATTATGAAATTGCATGAATTTAAATATAAATTGATTGAAATTTTTGTTGTTTATTACAGAACATGTGGTGCTATCAAAAGCCGAAAAAGAAGCTCTTAGAAGAAAACAGCTGAAACAAATAAAGAAGCGATATGGACTTGAGGTATATAAATTAACTTTACCCATAAATATATACATATATTCATTAATAGGTGGCGTCACCTGCACAGTGATGTATTCGTAGATATACCCTGTAAAATAATTTGCGGTTGCTTATTGAAAATAATCTCTCTGTTTAGTCACATTGCCGCATATTAAAATTGTATTTAGTTCAGTTTATTTGTGAAAGTCTTGTGTTTTATATGTGATGAACAGAATAGAATTTTACAACGTCTGTCTACGTAAATCAGTTTAATTGCAGTACATTTGTGTTAACAAATTTTGTTGGTTGAACAGGCATCAGCCTATGTAGATAATAAGGCAGCAATTGATAACGCAAACTACATGGATAGATCAACTGTGCGGCGCAAAACAGTAGGAAGTGATGATCCGTATCAGAAGGAAGAAGCCCCTGCCTCGGTGAATAGGTACGACAACATCATGATTATTAATGTTTTGATTGTAAGATAAGTTTTGAAAAGAATGCCATTTGTAAATTATTCCTTACTAAAACAAAATAAGACATATCAGAGATGTGTATGTTGTGATTATCGCTCGTCGCTCTGTAGAGTGAGTTTATTAATTGTTTTTAATATATCTACGCAACACTGTTACTCCGTGTTTCTATTTGCAGAGCCATATCTTCTGAAAATCCTGGTTTCAAGATGTTGAAGAAGATGGGATGGAGTGAGGGGCAGTCATTGGGAAAGAACATGACTGGTATCACTGAGCCTGTAAGCATAAACCTATAGTCTGTGATGACAATTGTCACTATTATTTTAATATAACATATGGTTTTGAGGTTATAGAATGTATCCATTATGTATATATGGGCTTCACAATATTATTCTGTAGGGATTGCAAGACTAGTATCCTTATAAATTTGGTGATATTTATTCACGGTGTCATTTGTAAGTATAATGTGCACTAGAATAGAGTGTTTTAAAAATTATAGGTGACTGTTTTCAGATCCCTAATAATTTTTTGCATTCTATCTTCGATTCAATTTTTTGTGATATCTGTTAAAACGTAAAGTGATTGCTGAATCTTCCAACAAGTTTTTACAGATGCAAAAATTAAAAATTGTTAATGCAATTAAATTCATAATGCAGTTTATTTAAATAGTGGCTGGAAAGCAATTACAAAATTTAAAAAACGATAGCTAAAACTTCAAAATTGAATATTTTCAGGTTAACGTCGAGGTACGTTCACAGAAAGCTGGCCTGGGTTCGAAAACATCGGTGAGGATGTCTATGGACAACGTGCAGTCCAGGAGGCAGGCCGAGGTGTGGGCGCGCGCCCGGGAGCGCTTCGAAAAACTCCAGGGCAACGACGAGGACGAATCGGGGACACCCTCCCAACCCCCAGAGGGCGCTGTTGGGCAACAAGTGAACGTGCCACCTCGTCGGGTAGCAACTGGAAGGGCAATGACGTTTGTGCAGGGTGCCACTGAACATGCTGATGGTGCGGAGCAAGGTGGAGTATTCCATCAAGATCCAATCCTTCCGATGCAATCCACAGTCTCAGCCGATGGTGAGACTGTCACTGTTAAAACTGAACCGATGGGAGATGGATGGTGAGTTGTTATAACACTGGTATGGTTTCATACGTACGAGAGATGTGCAGAAATGATAAAGTATGGCCAAACCTGTGTTAGTTAGTGTGGCACGATTAATAAAACGAACACCCGTACAGGAATGAAACCCGTTTGGCGTTTCTCTTGAGTGACAGTTGTACATTGAAACCACCTATGTAGAATTGACATCTGTCTCTAAAGCACAAGTTTCCGTGTGCAAGTATTTGTTTTGTTGCCATTGTTCGTTTTCTTGTCTTCCAGATAGGGAGAAGTTTAATAGTGGTCTCACCATATCATCAAGCAGGTTGCCGGATATTGCATGCTGTACAGAGGAATTTGCAAGGATCTGCGAAGATTCACATGTAATATTTTGGATGATTTAGGTGTGTAATTCATAGAGAAAATATTTAACTTTTGTCATGTTTTGATGGCAAAATGATAAAGTGTATCAGCAGGTGGATTGTATTATATATATACACATCAACAATAGATACCCGAATGTATAGATACTATCCTGGTATGTTTTGTATATAAATTTTTTATACAAACTACTTGCTCTGTTATTTATCTTTAATTGATATAGAACTTTACACACAGATGTCTGCAAAATAATCAAGTTTTTAGAAACGATCTCAGAGTTGTCAGGTTGTCTGTCAAGTCTGTCTACTAAACACTAATAGGTTCTTGAAGCAGCCTTGGTGCGCTAGTTTGTCTTGTGCTAATAAGCTTAAATAGCATGTCTGTTGTCTCTTGATGGGTCTTGACATGTGCCATTGTTTGAAATTCCAATGGTTTGGGGAACACCTGTTTTTGGAAAATCTTAAATTCCTTTTTAAAATGGCTGTTAGCCCCTCTCAAATCACCATGCAATTAACAACGGTATTCACAACTTAGAAAAGAAAGTGAGCGAGAGTTATACCATACTAAGACCCTTTTTTCAACATCAATGCAGATTTATTCATTTCAGTCACAAGATTCTTTTTTTTCAAATACGATTTAACATCAATGATCATACATACATACTGATAGGTCTATGCTACAAACTATACACGACAACTGGTTGTCTTAATTTCCTCATAATCACATCATAAATAAGTGAATTTATGGGACAAAACAAAGTTTAAATAGAGAGATCCATGTCATTTTCAGTGGTAGTTTTGTGGCAAATGGAACTAGTGGAAAATCAGTTTTAATCGCATATATATATATATATATATATTTAAACATTGATAAGCACGAGTATAATTTTATAACAGCACAGTTAGATGAGGGTCACTTTGTTCCTACTTTAGCAGTGTAAGAAGAGACATGCAGAAGAGACATGCAGAAGAGACATGCAGAAGGTACCTTGCCTCGGTACAAAACAGAACTCAACAGCAGCCAATTTTTCTGAACGTGCGCCCTGTACGACTGCAAGACGTCTGAATATGTGAATTACCAAGAATTAGGAAGTCACTGCCAATACTGTTGCCGTTACAGCTGCCATTACTCATCTTGTCTTTGCTACACACAGTAGGAAAGCCTATAATTCACAGGTCGTGCGCAGGTGGATTCACTGCCACACTTATAACACGCTATATCGTCTTCATACATAAACATCAGTGTGGATATGTTTAAAAGACTACAACTGTTAAAGCACAACTGTATCAACTGCTTGCAACTAGCCATAAGCAGTATGTGTATACCAATAGTGGCACTGTGCTCCAAACGCGGCACTAAACATCCGCACGAGAATTCCATGCTTCGGTATTCACCGAGTCATTCACTACGGTTACTCTTTACCAAATAAAAATAACACACACACACTGAATATACAGACTGAACTGAACACTTCATGACAGACTGCAACTGTATAGAAACATTGGATTTTTATGGCTTCTACGTTATAACATATACTCACGCTATCACTACAGAACACTACTACAATCACTATGTTTAAAGTACTACTAGACCACAACTCTACTCAGTGTAACTGTTGCTATCAACAGCAACATAGCACCTATGATTCACACTCCCAATAGTCCTTTACACGCCTACATGAAGGCTGGATCTTTTTTTGTTCGTTTAAAAAGTTCTAGCTGGCTATCGTTGGAGTATCACAAAACCCAAGCAACTTCACCACTTGCATTCTATTACACATATGCATCATAAGGTATACCGTATTACATACTTGGAATCAAGAGCGTATTAGGCAATACTTAATAATACTTAATACTTACGTACCACTTAAGTATTAAGTAATACTTATGAGGCTCTTGTTAGAATGATATACACTCGCCAATTATACAACGAACTGCATATATGTAATAATGACCATTTTGCATTTGAATTTACCACCACTAAAACTATACTGGTCCACTTTGTTGTACAGTTCATGTCATGTTTCGCACCCATGCAAACTCCGAGTGCAAATAAATGACTAAATATGAACGAGTACACGTAATGTGTACGTGACTGTGTAAACAATAAAATGCATCACAGTTTCGTTAGATTTCCATGACTTGGTGGGGAATTCTACGCGGTACGAATAAAAAATTCAACACTTGCCCGCATGACCATGGCAGAAATTCTAGTTGAATGCATGGCAAATTAAAGTAATTTGGCAATCGAAAATTACTCATTTACAGCTCTAATATACATATTTACACAAACATCCTACTGTTGTATTTTTATCAAGTTTTTTTCTGTAAAAAAATGTCTACAGATATAAGCATCAAACCACCAACAAGGAAATTGCTTCCATTTTCAGTCAAATCTGCATATAGTTATGACATCTAAAGTTTTGCAAAGTCTCTACCTTGGAATCATTATGGATGGACAATTGGACATTGCACATTATATGCGGCTGAGTATTATGCATATATATATATATATATATATATATATATATATATATATATATACATAATATATATGCTAATGGAAATATTATGAAGCTTGAAGCACTGAAATCCAAGTTGAGATTCTACACCAAAGCCAATCACTATGATGCCGGAAGGATACTTGTCCAGAACCACATCCTTCGGCTCGATCAAGAAATTAGAACCATTTTTATAACAATATCATATTTGCATAAAAATATTCAAAGATAATTTTACAACAACCGCTATTGGGTAACATTACCTATACCGTCCATGCTATGCGTGGTCACTGATCAAGTTCATATAACGCCTATTACATAATATGCCGTACCTGCTGGTTTGTGCGAGAAAATAATCAATAAATTGCATATCTAGCGAGAGCGGTTAGCTAGCGTTCAATTATCGTCCATCTTGTGCGTTAGGCTATTAGGCATATAGATAGATATCTATACACACAGTATTACATCAATTACAGCATTACGTGCGTTTGCTAACCTGGTCTAGTATCAACGTGGCAAGAAATGATCAGCAAACTTATTTATGGAAGCACCAATTTCACTTTGGATAGACATAAACTATTAGTGTTTCATCTTTGAACATTCAACATTTCAACTTGTCATTGAACGTATATGTTTTCGTGGACCACTCGTCGACCTTCTTGTAACATGAGATACGGACTTTCAAGCCCTTGCAGTTTATATTTAACACCAAAAAAATGATTCACATACTTTGCTCTTGCCATTTTGGGTAACGAATCACCACTTGCAGTTTCTCTCTTGCAATCATTCTGGTATACTAGTGCATACTAAAATATAAATTGGTTAGGTATTGTCCTCTGTCAACGACATTTCTCACACACAATAAGAATAATCTTGCAAGACCAGTTTGCATATTTAATCTAATATTTATACTAAGTTACGGTGGGTGATCTAGGATGGGCTTGCGGACCTCAAAACGGCGAGATGTTAACGATACCATGAACACAAATCTACACATTGTATAGATATGCTCGGAATGACGCTATCTGGCAACAATCTCAGAAGCCAGTGCACAAGTATTTCGTAATAGATTACCGACCGCTGTGCATTTCTAGACGATTATACCGCTGTTAAGCAATATTCAGCTATGATACCGATGATTTACTGGATCGTGAATCGTGACCGCACAAGATCATGGTAATTTTTCATGGGTACGCTATACATTTCAATTAAATAACCTATCCACAATTACGTGGAGATAACCAATAGTTTGTAAACTGCATCTAAATACATACGTCTTTATAGATACTGTCATGTAACAAGTCATGAACTATACACAACACGCGATCGAGTGTGTGTACACACACATACAATAGAAAAACGCTGGTAGTACTAATGTAACTTTTATATGTAATGTATACTCTATATATGCATTGCTATCAAACACGTGAAGCTCCAAAGTTGTATATATATATATATATATATATATGGCTTACTGTGCATAATAGATAATACACCTAGTACGCACATGATGAGATACATGCTGCAAATCAATATTCAAAGCACATTACAATATCCACATGTATACATTAGTAGCAGCCTACAGTACAGGGATTACCATCACTCCATACACGGCCACATACAACCTATTGGGCGCATCAATCCTAGACGACATGCACTAATATCCGTCGTCGTCACTGACAGTGAAAGCAGCTGCAAGTTTGTACAATATGAATACACAAGTAATAGCTGGATCTTTAATTCTGAAAATCCCTTTGCGTCACTGTGTGTGTGTGTGTGTGTGTGTGCATGACTACACCTGGCAGTCAAATCTAGGAAATCAAATTTAAAGTAAACGTCATAAAAAATTAGATGCTGTAAAAACAATCTAAAAGATAATTCATAGTAAACCTATAGTTGGTTACCGTAGTTTGTGAGAATCAATACATCATACACGTACATGGAAAAAGTCATGTGGAAATGTAACCATATTGTTCCTAAACGTTTTGTAGGAACTATGTATAAATTATGGAAGCTTCAAAAGACAACCTGACTCTATGTCTGAAACTAAAAGGTGTGGTACACAAAAAGAAACATGGTTAAAAAGTCACATCCATTTTGATCTCAGTTTCTTGGGTGTAAAATACATTAAACATGGACAATATAAATACTAATCAGAGCATCCCATATTTAAAAAAGTAAAACTGCATTTAATTGAGATCGCTACACTGTGCGTATGCCAAAAAACACATCCCACATGGGGAGATAATGGAAATGATCATCTATATAGCTAGCAGCAAACAGGTTTTAAGTTAGGCTTTCCTTAGTTGGCTTTTAAGAATAGTTTTCGACCACGTTGCAACAATACGTGTAAACTCGCGTTACAACTTGCGTTCAATGTGCGTTTTCTTGTGGGTCTTCAGCGGACTCAACTGCGTAAAGGCCTTGTTGCAAAGATCACACTTGTACGGCTTCTCGCCCGTGTGAATTCTCCGGTGCGTTTGCATAGTACCCTTCTGACGAAACGTCTTCCCGCACAGATCACAAGGGTACGGTTTCTCGCCCGTGTGAATCCGCCGGTGGATGCTCAGGGAACTCTGGTGCGCAAACTCCGCGCCGCACGTATCACAGTTCCAAGACGCGGCCGTCGCGTTAGGCACTACCGGTTCGTGGTGAAGCCCCTTCGATTCGGAAGCAGCAGAGGATGCGGAAGCAGCGGAGGACGTCGCGTCTCCGTCCGCGCCGCCGCACGACCCCGCGGCGTGGTGCGCGCTGAGCGCGTGCGCGTTGGGGAAGGTCGCGGGGCAGCGTCCGCACGCGTGCGTCTGGTCCCCCGCGGCGGCGGCGGCGGCGTGAACCCTCCGGTGGTTGTTCAGCGTCGCTCGCTGCGAGAACGTCTTTCCGCACTCGTCGCACGGGAACGGTCGCTCGCCCGTGTGAACGCGCATGTGCACCGCGAGCACGTGCTTCATCGCAAACACCGCGCCGCACGTATCGCACTTATACGGGTGTCCGCCGCCGCCGCCGGGGGGCGCCACCGCCTGCGCCGGCGGCGGCTGCTCGGCGGGGAAGGGCGCCGGCGCGGTCGAGGGCGGTGGCTGCTCGGCGGGGAAGGGCGCCGGCGCGGTCGAGGGTGGCTGCTCGGCGGGGAAGGGTGGCGGCGCGTGGAGGCGCTCGTGGTTGTTGAGCGTGCTGAGCTGGGAGAAGGTGCGTCCGCACGTGCCGCACTGGTACGGCTTCTCCATGCTGTGCACGCGGTAGTGCGCCTTCAGCGCCCCCTGCTGGGCGAACGACTTCTCGCAGACGCTGCACTGGTAGGGTTTCTCGCCCGTGTGCACGCGGCGGTGCGTCTTCAGCGTGCCAATCTGCCGGAACGTCTTGCCGCACAGCTCGCACGCGTGCGGCTTCTCGCCCGTGTGGATGCGCCGGTGGATGTAGAGCGTGGTCTCGCGCGCGAACGTCGCCCCGCACGTCGCGCAGCCCCACGGCCGCTCGTCCGAGTGCACGCGCCGATGGCTCTGCAGCTGCACGAGCTGGCGGAACGGCGCCGCGCACACGTCGCACTTGTACGGCATCTCGCTGCTGGCGCGGCCGTCGTGGCTCCGCTGGTGCGCGCGCAGTGTACCCAGCCAGCGGAACGTCGCGTCGCACGAGCCGCACCGGTACTCGGGCTTGTTCGGCGAGTGGTGCTGGTTGACGTGCCGCTTCAGGAGGCCGCTCTGCGCGAACATGGCGTTGCACACCTTGCACCGCCACGGCGGACTGTGAACTGGCTGCACCGCCGCCGCCGCCGGCTCCTCCACCTTCGCGGGAACCTCCTCCTCTCGCTGGTCGAGGGAGGGTCTCCCGCGACGCCGCCTTCTCGTCGTCGGCGCCGGTATCTGCGCCGCGCCGGACACGGCCGTCACGATGGGGAGCCCGCCGGCGTCCGACGCGTCCCGCTGCATCGTCGACGTCGTCGCCGCGCGCGGTTGGATCTCCTCCTGCAGCTTCTTCAACGCCTCGACGATGTCGGACTCCTCGCTGTTCGTCGTCGTCGTGGCGACGGCGGCGGCGCTGTATGGATACCCGCACGTCTCGAGCACGCACAGCCCGTCGTCGTCGTCGTCCGTCTCCATCGCCGGAGAACCGCCGACCTCGGTTGCCCGCTTGTCGACGGTTTTAAACATGCCGCCGTCGCACTGGTAGTCGACGTTCGGCGGTTTCTTCCAGTTGGCGGTGTCGGCGGCGGAATTCCACGGCCAGGAGTCGAGGGGGCCGGGAATGCCAAAGTCGAGATTCGACGCCTCGGATTTCACGGCGAGATTCCCCTGCTGCGCGGCCGCGGACTGGAGAAAGGTGCCATTGCTGAGGATGTTCGGGTTGAGCGTCTCCGCGTGAACGACCGTCATGTGGCTCGACACCGCGTTGCACGCGCTCGGCTCCACGGCCGACGTCTGCCCCGGGTCCTGCCCCTGCGAGACGAGCACCTTACAGTGGACTGCCTTCGCATGCGCGACGAAGCGTTCCTCGGTGAAGAAGCATTCGCTGCACGAGATGCATCGGTAGTAGAGCGTCGTCATGCTCTCGGGCGCCAACAGCAGCGACGGCGGCGGCGCCGCTTGTCCGCGAAGATGACTGCTCTGGTGCGCCGGTAGCATCACTAGACTTGTTAACTCTTGCTTCACGAGAAACGGCACAGAGCAGCTGCTAGTGACGGAGGACGCCATGTTCTGAGGAGAAATGAAAATAGAGAAAGGCGAGTTAAAATCACAATACTGTCACGGGCTAATCTAGCTGCTGAATATGAGCACCCGTGGCGAGCCTAAAATGAAAGTGTCAATGACACTGTAGCTCACCACAAAAAAGGACACAAATGAGTGAGTAAGAAGAAGTCAGTTTTAATTGAGCAACCATCGACGTACATTATAGAAACGATTGCCATCTGTATATCGCAATAATAATTTATAAACCAAAATGAATCACAATTTGTGACCGTAGATGGCGCTATACACGCTTTGTAGCGATGGCGTTTGAAATAAATAGGTTATGCTGCATTCCGACATGTTTTGTAAAACTTTACTCTAATATAGACGTTTTATCGGCAGGGTGGAGAGGAAATACCAATTTTGCACTAAAGATATTGTCAATAATATCTTTAAAAACGAACCAGACGATTGTGACACCACATACTGTTTGTGTCTATATAATATGTTATACAATTGCCAAACCCTACCTAATTTGCATAATTTAAATATATCAAAACCCCTAGCCCTTATTCATTCACATACCAAAAATGAGCAAAATCCGTTGAACCTGAACTGACTAATAGCAATTCCCATTTTTGCCAAAAAATTGCCGTGGCTCGAAAGTACGTCGACTGGCGTGCTTCAAAATAGGACGTTTAATATGGGAGCATAGCAGTTACGACTATACCCAATTTCAAACATGTGGGCCAAACGGTTCCTGAGTTATCGTTGACCGAAGCGAAATGTTGACGGACGGACGGACGTACGACGGACGACGACCCACGGCAATAGCTCAGCTTGACGATGTCAAGGTGAGCTAAAAAAAATGCTTATCTATCACATTAAATTTGGACGTTTGGTCAACACATTTTATTCAGATAATAGATTATAGATCTCATATAAGAATTTTATTATAAAACAGTGCCTACATAACAATAGAAACATGGGGATCTGCATCAGAGCTCTGCTAATTTGGGCGTTTTATGAATTTTGTAATTTGGGCGTTTTATGAATTTTGTAATTTAGGCGTTTTGCTAGGGGTCGTAATTTGGGCGACCGGTATTCGGTATGAAAAATGGCCTGGATTAGGCCCCGACTGTTCATATTTATTTCTTAAACTATTCTTGATCGCTTATAATTTTATGAATATTAATGCAGTGGTTACCAAAAGTTTTTCTGGCTACCATCCTTTGGGCTCCATACACTCATTCCTGATTACCCCTACCATAACCTATATATACCTTCACCTTACCTCTTGGCTCCCTTCTATGGAATACCATAGCACTGAGGGGGTACCACTCTGATTCAGAAACTATGTATTATAAAATAACACTCTCTAGCCTTCGCCACTATTTTCAGTATGCTATAAAATATACCATTATATTAACATGTTGTTAATATCGTGTTACTTATATATCTATAAAAAAAAAATCTGCATGGTGACTGGAAATTAGTAACACTACATGGCATAAATAAGGCATAATTCAAGTAAAAAAATAATAATGAAACCATGAATTTTCTGATATTTGATTGTGTAAATTATATATCATATATTTAATTTGATTATTTCACACTAACTGACGCTAAGCTTTTGTTGAGTTATTTCTGAGTTGACTAACATTCCTACTGTAGTCTATTACTTGAGTTTACCTGTCTTTACATTATTATGTATAAACAATATAAAACAATGTCAATGTGACTCAGTCACTCTATTGTGCTTACTGAAATAAGATTGGAGTTTAAAAACCCAACAAACTATGTGTGAATTGGCAAATGCTTTACGAAAATAACTTTGAACTATTTGTAACAAATAACAATGACGAATATTAAACTAACAAAGTCCCGTTGTCAGTGGAAAAGACTTGCGGACTAGTTACAGAGCACAGGCACTTGGAGCGTTTCAATAAAATATAATGCTAAATAAATATGAAATCTATTTACTACCAAAGTCTTAAAATGTTTCTCCACTCTCTTTCACCTATTATTGCCGACAATTTCCTGTAAATGCTCATCTGCAAACACACGCTGGCGGCCGCATGCTAGCTGCTGCACACTGACACATAAATATATAGCAGGTAGCAGGGGTCGAAATTAGCGGTATCCCGATATCCGCAGGATGGTAAATTCCTGTGTTGGATACCAGATTTTAATGCTTGGTATCCCGCTTTGATAGTAAAAAAAAATCGTCAAAATCGGGATAGTGGTTGTTGAGCATATTTGCAAGCGCAAGCGTGGCCGATGTTGATCATACATTGTATCAAGAAAACCAGACAATGTGTCTAGACAATACGTCTGCAGTGTACTTGTCTGTGCATATCTGTGAATCTGTTTTCATGTTTTTATATAATAATTACATTACATATTAATAATTTTCAAATGCTATTATTGCATATTTCAACATTTTGAATACCAACATTGTTAAAATTACTATCCAAAAAATGGGATACCAGATCTTTGGGGGGGGATACCAGATTTCAATACTTGGTATCCCGAATGGATTGGATACCATAATAAAAATCTAATTTCGACCCCTGGGTAGGAAAGCGTGCTGCCAAAAATCACTCGACGCTCGCTTGATTTCATACGAATATAACACAAATATTCAACCATTCTACTCCATCTTTGTTTCTATTTGAAGGACAGTGTTCACTTGTTATAAAAACATACTATCTGTGTTCGTAACCGAGCTGTGTCACGCGAAATCACACAAAGCCTGACGAAATGGCTGCAAGTACAGGGCTATAGGCGGCGCACTGCATATTGGGAAACTACCACGCTGCTTTCCAACTCCCGTACGAGCCTCGTCAAAGCTGCCAGTTAAGCGTTGCAAAAACGTTGCAGCGTTGCGGCGCAAAAATAAGGTCACGAAGAGTGCCGGTGGGTGTTTCCTGATTCCGACAGCCATTTACATAAACTGCGCAAAGGGAGCGAACGCGAGAATTTCGTCAGGCTTTGAGTGATTTCGCGTGACACAGCTCGGTTATGAACACAGACAGTATGTTTTTACCTCCGCCCAACGGAGTTGGAGGTGGTTATGTTTTCGCTCTTGTGTGCGTGCGTTCGTGTGTTCGCGCGATCGATATTAGCGCGTCAGCCAGCGAGCCAGCCAGCGAGCGTGTACATGTGAGCGAGCAGCAGCAACGAGCGGCTGCTACGAGCGAGCGAGCAGCAAGCCAGCAAGCCAGCGTGTACATGTCAGTACGCTGGCGTATATCGTGGCTTATTTGTGTGTTCGTCAGTCGTATGGCGTATGTCGCTGGCGGAGGTATGCACTCGCCGTGAGTGCACTGTCTAGTTATATCAAGTGAACACTGTTCTTCAAATAGAAACAAAGATAGAGTAGAATGGTTGAATATTTGTGTTGTATTCGTATGAAATCAAGTGAGCGTCGAGCGAATTTTGGCAGCACGCTTTCCTACCGGCTATATATTTATGTGTCGATGTGCAGCAGCTAGCGTGCGGCGGCCAGCGTGTTGCATATGAGCATTTGGACGGCATAAAATTTACAGGAAATTGTCGGCAATAATACTAATACTAATAGTAATAAGTGAAAGAGAGTAGAGAAACATTAAGACTTTGGTATTAAATAAATTTCGTATTTATTTAGCATTATATTTTATTGAAACGCTCCAAGTGCCTGTGTTACAGAGTACGAGGTGATACAAATATAAACATAACCGCGACAACTACTGAAAATAACTAGCTAAACCAATTAGCCGTAGGTAAAACCCGTAAGTTTGGTTCAAGGATAGAGAACATGGGTCCCAATAAAACCAATGTAATTTACATCAATATATTGGGACCCATGTTCTCTATCCTTGGGCCGTAAGTTTTACCACGATAAGTTATTTAACGATAACGATTTTATCAATGAATCAGACGCTCAGCCTATGAACAGAAATCTCTAACAATAGTGTTACGGTATATTAGTATTACTATTAGTATTACTATTAGTATTACTATTAGTATTAGCAATATTCAGAATGGAAATAACAAAGCAGTCCTATTCGGATTATTAACTTATCATGTATTGTTAGTTTTAGACAAATATAACGACAACAACGTCAACTACGTAATACCAACCATGAGTCCTTCGCAATAACAATGAATCGCACTTTAATTGTAGCCGTAGGGAGCTGCAAAAACAATGATATTATTAATCATTTTTCTGGGATCGATTTTTGGAGCAAAGGCTGCCATTGTTCCACACCAGCGCCACTTGTGGCAATTTACGGTATGATAGAATTAGAAAGGCCTCGGGTTAATTCGGATTACGAACCAGTCCTCGTTCATAATCTGTTTGTCACAGAATAAGCTTCAATAAATATCCTACAATATACTTTATTACAATGATAAAATATGTTATAACTTAACTATGGTTTTGACGTAGCAAATAAAGTTGCTACCAAAAATCTCAGCTTCTTTTCTAATGTCCACTTGTTATGGTAATGTCTGCGCCCGTAAATTTCATGCGTGTTTTATGCGTTCATCGTTAAAACATAGTTCACTTACATGTAAATGTAATTTATATTCCCATACGAACTATCATTAAGCAGTAATATTGTTCCTATCGCTTGGGTAAGTAAACCAGCTATCTGGTTTAGATTCTGACCCTAGTGACGCGGGATAAAGTTGGGACGTCGTGCGCATCACCATGATTACTACTAATACTAGACCGAATAATTCTGTCCCATATAACCTTTTTTATATTTTGGTGAGGGTTATATTGGGACAGAACGGGGTTCATTGAAATTTCGTGAGATCGCATGCAAAATGCATGCGCTGCGAATGCGGCCCGTACGCCGCTATTGGTGCGAAAAAAACCTACCGTTTCCTTCTACATGACTTTACCTAGATACAATAATGTAACCCAAACCCAAGAGGATAGGGTTACAACGCGAGCCTATACTTTTGTGCGGAGGAATGCCCGAGTGAATGACTCGGGCAGGTTTGCTGGTGTATTTTCAGAGACTAGA